GGTGCAGGAGTATGGATGTTGGAGGACATGAAGCCTTTGGGGATGTGGAGAGGAGAGTGGCAGGGCCACTGGGATGCCAGGTTGTAGTGAGAGGACCCAGGCAGGGGATCCCCTGTGTGCTCACAGGGAGGGGACCTTCAGCTTCTGAAGCAGCTGAGTGAATACAGGTGGGCAGCCCAGCCACCTTCCCATATGAGGGTACCTTCCCATCTGGTGCCCTGGGGTTGGGCTGAACTGACAGGGCCAAGGGTAAGCTCAAGGAGCTGGGTGGCTTATGGCCCAGAGGCCCAGGCACTGTGGGGCCCAGAGGCCTGCACCAGAACCAGTGGCCAGAAGAGGCATTCTGGCCAAGGTAGGGTAGTTGGCTCCTTTCCCTGGGGTGGCCTGGGAAAGAGGGTGACCCTGGAAGCAGAGGTCAAAACTGACAACTTCCTCCACCTTTTATAGGCTTTTGAAAATCCTCGCTGTCTCTAGTGAGGCCGCGGGGTCCTCTCAACCCAGATCTGCCCCACACGCGCTCTGGGGACAAGAGCGGGCAGCTCAGCGGCTATTTGTTCTGGAAGAACCTCAGGCTGTTCACGAAGGAACAAGGGGCCCTCATGCTCTTGAGGGGTAAACATTCCAGGTGGGCCTCTTCTGGGAAACAGGAGCAGAGTGCAGTCAGCTTCCCTTCAGCTGCCAAGAGGAGCACTTCTGTCCTGGGGTTTACCCAGCATTCTGGCCCCAAAGGGTCAGTCTGGAGGAAGTAGGGTCTGGGCACCGTCAACCTCCCTGCCTAAGGAGCACGTGTGGGTTCCTGGGGGCCCAGCCCTGCAGCGCTGCTCTGGGGGCAGAGTGTGGGCAGAGTGCTTACAGCTTCATAGGTGCCCTCACCACTTCCAGGAACCAGGAGGACAACATGGGAGGAGTAGGGGCAGCAGGGGCCCAGAGCCTAGAGTCCCAAGTCCTCACGCGGGCTACTTCCAACAGACTGAAGGTCACTCAGCCAGCAAGGGGCTGAGCCAGCATGGCGCAATCTCTGCCTCTGGTGGGGGTGGTGTGGTCAGAGTGAGTCTGTCTTGAGCATCCCTGGCTACTGTGATGCAGAGGCCAAGGGCTCTGGGGTGGCTTGTGATGGTATTCTGGGGTGCATAGCACTGACTTGGAAAAAAGTGGGCTGTAGCAGGACACTGAAAGTGCACAAGACCATCATTCCCTTACTCCTTGTGGAATGCCACGATGAGCTTGGCTTTGTTTGTGGTAAGCACAGCTCTCTCTCTGGGGTCCCATCATTTCTGGGCAGGTGGTGAGCTGCAGCCCGACTTCTGAGGATGAGGCAGTGTGGTAGATGGAATGAGGGAGAGTTGTCACTCTGGAGTCAGCCAGACCTGGGATGAAGACCAGCTCTTACACTGCCACTAGGGCCTCCCCTTGAGCCTTCAGAGGGAGCATGACCCTTCCAACACCTTTTTTTTTTTTTTTTTTTAAAATGGGGGTCTCACTCTGTCACCCAGGCTGGAGTGCAGTGGCTCGATCTCAGTTCACTGCAACCTCTGCCTTCTACGCTCAAGCAGTCTTCCCACTTCAACCTCCCAAGTAGCTGGGATCACAGGTATGCGCCACCATGCCTGGGTAATTTTTTGTATTTTTGGTAGAGATGGGGTTTCACCATGTTGCCCAGGCTGATCTTGAACTCCTGACCTTAAGTGATCTGCCCACCTCGGCCTCCCGAAGTGCTAGGATTACAGGTATGAGCCACCGCGCCTGGCCTCCCTCTCACATCTTAATTTCAGACTCCAGAACTACAAGAGAATAATTTTTTTTTTTTTTAATGAGACAGAGTCTCCCTCTGTTCCCTAGGCTGGAGTGTGCAGTGGGTGATCTCGGCTCACTGCAACCTCCGCCTCCTGGGTTTAAGCGATTCTCCCGCCTCAGTCTCCTGAGTAGCTGGGGTTACAGGCACCTGCCACCACACCTGGCTAATTTTTGTATTTTTAGTATTAATGGGGTTTCACCATGTTGGCCAGGCTGGTCTCCACCTCCTGACCTCAGGTGATCTGCCCACCTCAGCCTCCCAAAGTGCCAGGATTACAGGTGTGAGCCACTGTGCTCAGCCCATTCCTGTTTTTTTAAGCCACCCAGTTTGTGGTATTTTTTCACAACAGCCACAGAAAATGAATACGGGTGATGCCTGTGCTGGGTCAGGGGTCCTCGGTAGGAGGACGGGGAGGAAAGCCTTGGAAAGCAAGAGGGTGGGCCCGGCTCACCATCTGCGTGATCTCCTCCAGCGTGATCTGGTTGTCACCTGGGTCCTCCTGGGTCAGAGTCCTAGGCAGGAACGAGAAGGCATAGTGAGCCCCACTTCACTCCTCTGCAGCCCCTCCCCAGCTCGGGCAGCCCCACATGGCCTCTGCTCTTAACGCCCCTCTGTCCTCGCCATCCCCATTGCCAGGAGCACCCTTTCCTCTTTGTCCTTCACTCTCTTCTTCCTGATGGTTCTGACCCTCCTGGCTGTGGGAGGTCCCCTTCTGGGGCCCTCTCAGCCCCTGGGCTTCCTGCATCTGATTGGGTGGGAATGGCCTTTCTGCCACCTCAGGTAGGGAGCCCTTGAGGGAGGGACTGTGTCTGATTCAGCCCCATAGCTCTGGTGCCAGCATAGGACTGGACATTCAGCAGGCGCTCCTGCGAGCACATGGATGACGGGATGCATGAGAGGAAGGAAGCACAGGGAGCAGGGAGGCAGTATGGCAGCCACAGGCCCAGAGGAAGGACTGCAAGGATGGAGTTGGGATTGCAGAGGAGAGTGATACCCATGGTGGGGAATGAGGGTGGAGCCTCAAAGTCAGGCCAAAGTGCCTCACGCTCATGGTGATGGGCTCAGAGTCACAGCTGGTGATTGCCAACGGAGGCTGCGGACACTGGAGAACCAGGTCTGGGCTGCATGGGGACAGTCAGGTCTGCAGGCCTGCCGGAGCTGCAGGGAGTGGCTCTCTGGATCAGCCTGGCAGAAGGCATTGTCGTGTATATCTTACAGCTGAGGAAATGGCCCCTCAGGGAACTGCCTCACCTGGGGTCCCGCAGTTGGAGCACGGTGGGCCCATGCTCCCAACCAGGGCAGCCAACTCCAGAGCTTGCTCTTTCATCGCACCAGGGAACAGGCTCCCCTCCGAGGGTGGCTTTGATCAATATGCTCGGTGGGGGGCTCCACACACTCCTAAGGCCTCCTGGGAGGATGTGAGCGGTGGTTGTGTGCATGCACGCGCGTGCATGCGTGTGTGTGTGTGTGTATGTGTGCACACACTCTGGCCTCTGTACTGAAGATGGGGAGGTCTGAAAGAGACTTTAGGACTGTGAGCCTGAGGGAAGAATGGGCCCCAGCATGGGGCCTCAACGGCCTGGCTAGGGAGGAAGACTGGGCACTCTGGTCACAGGCAGGACTTGGTGGAAAGTCTGGGGAAGCTGGGGCCAGGCAAGAGGTGAGGAGGAAAGGCCAGGGCCCAAGCCCTCACACCTGGGCTGGGCTGGGAGCAGACAGGCTGAGTCGGTAGGTGCCCGCCACCCACTGAACAGCTTGTAGAAGTGACACCTGTGATCTCACCCCAGCCTTGAAGTGGGTGTTATTCACCCATTTTATGGATGAGGCTCAGAGAGGGGCCTTGCCCAGTTCACATAAGTCACTGGCTGAGCCAGCTCAGACATGGGGCTGCCTGACCCTGACCTCCGCCAGGAAAGGACAAGCACGGGTTTGAGGATAAACAACTTAACTGAATTCAATTCAACAGGCACTCCCTGAGCACCTACAAATCAGGCCTTGCCAGCACTGTTTAATAAATCTCTGCAGTGATGGCAGCGATCTACACCCTGTACTGTCCAATGTAGGGGCTGCTAGCCACATGTCAGGGGTGAAGCTGAGGCTGCTGGGCTCATGTCACTGAGGAGCTGAACTTTAAATTTTATTTAACTTTCATTAAGATTTAAATAGCCAAGGCTGGGCATGGTGACTCATGCCTGTAATCCCAGCACTTTGGGAGGCCGAGGCGGGCGGATTGCCTGAGGTCGGGAGATCGAGACCAGCCTGGCCAACATGGTAAAACCCCGTCTCTACTAAAAATAATAATAATAAAATTAGCTGGGCGTGATGACAGGTGCCTATAATCCCAGCTACTGGGGAGGCTGAGGCAGGAGAATTGCTTGAACCTGGGAGGTGGAGGTTGCAGTGAGCCAAGATCGCGCCACTGCATTCCAGCCTGGGTGACAAGAGCGCAAAAAAAAAAAAAAAAAAAAAAAAAGAGTTAAATAGCCTTGTGTAGCTAGCGCCTACCATATTGGATGGCACAGGCTAGACAGGGGGTAGCAGCTGTGGACACACATGCAGAAGTGTGCTGGGTTCTTGCTTCGAAGAGATCAAGGTCTGGCACAGGGTGGGGAGAGAGGAAGGAAGGACAAATGGACTACCCAGGCTCGAGCCTGTCCCCAAGAGCTCACCTCTACCCCAGCACTCCTACTTGGGGCTATCCTTGACAAGGGCGCTCTTCACCTCCCTGGCCTCTGACCAGCCCACATAGAGGCAGAAGGCAGGGCTCCTGTCCCAGCAGGCAGTCCTGAGCCAGGAACCAGGTACTGCCTTTACCTGATGATGTTGGCTGCAGCCTTCCGCTCCTGGGTCAGGAGCTCCGGGTCGTGCATGACTTCTTCCAGGAAGCCGATCACCTTGCATTTGAGCTCATCATTGGTTTCAAAGTCCTGCCGGGAAGGCGTGATGGGTGGCTCTGGTTACTGTTTTTGAGCTGCCCTGAAGTGGTCTGGGCCCAGGCCAGAGGAGGGAGCTCCAGTTTCTATTCTGCCCAGGACAGGCTGACCTGCCTCATTTCCTTTCTGCTGGCTTCCTGGCAGGGCATGAGAGGCTCTCCAGGCCTAGAGAATCTTAGATAAAAGCACTGGGGCCAGACCAAAGCCCATCCTTTAGCTGGCTGCACCCCTGGGCCAGGGAGGCACAAACCTACCTGTACCCCTGCTACAGGCAGGGTGGATAGACAGAGGCCCATTGTCCCTTCCTTGTCCTTGGTTCCCTCCTAGGGAATCTGAGCAGTCCTCTGGGAACATCAGGGTGGCACACTTGATCTCCCTCCCTCCTGCTGCCCCACTGCCAGCCATCAGCTCACTCTGCCCGCAGTTGCTTTTGGAAGGCAGCTGGTTCCTGGGGCCATTGCCTGGTGGTCCCCAGCAGCCTGCCCAGGGAGGGCTCCCACCCACCTGAGAGTGCTTGGACACCCAGTGGCGGAGCACGTTCAAGACACGATTGGTGGCTGCTCTGCGGATCACAAACTCCTTGTCTCCATTCCTCTGGTCTGGGGGAAACCCTGGCAGCATGCATGGCAGAGGGGAGAGAGGACAGGTGAGGACAAGAAACAGAGCTTGACACTAGCCTGGATTTGCCTTTTGGATCTGGCTGAGCTGGGCTGAGAGGGTCATGGGCAGAGGGATAATAACATATTTAACAACAAGTGTCTGACCAATAGCACAGATGTCATGGCTTCTCAGTGGACGTGGTCCATGCATGCCCAGCCTCTTCTAGACCTCTCCATCTTTCAAGAGCTGCTGGAAGGTTCAGGCAGCCTCCAAAGACAGAGCCATGCAGGCCATCCCCAGGGACCAGAACTCACGGGGGCCCCTATTCCAGTCTCTGCTGCAGGACCAAGGCTGCAGAAGTGGGAGGTGGAGCATGGGGGAACAGAGGTTCCCATGTGCAATGGGCTTTATGTTGAGTAGAAGTTGGCCAAGTAGCAAAGGGCGACGGGTGGGAAGGAAGGGGCCTCCAGGCAGGAGGGTCAGCACTAGCAAATGCCTGCAGGGTGGAAGTTTGGGGGTGGGATGGATGGCATTCAGTTGGGCGCTGGAAGAGGAGGGTGCAGGGCAGCCTGTGCCCTAGATGTGCAGTGGCCCTGGCTCTAGATGTGGGGTTCAGGCCCTGGGTGTGTGCAGAGCCCCAACAAGTGCAGAGAGGTGGGGATTGTGACCCCACACCTCCATAAGTGGAAGGCGGTGCCCAAGTCAAAATAATGATTCAGGAAGCTTCGTGTCCAGTGAGTGAGTGAAATCAGTTGAAGCAATTTAACAGGACCCACTTGTGCCTTCAGCAGCACACCTTAAACACCCACAGCAGAACAAGTCCCCAGGACCATGCCGGTTATCACCTGCCACTGGGGTTGACCGTGGGGACGACCCTGTGAGCGGAGACCACCCCACATACCTGCACTGGCTAAGGACATCCTCCGGTACTTCTCCTTGTTTGGGGTGCCCTCGTTGGCCCCCGCGGTTGCTATGGCAAAGGCGGAGGCAGCCGACAAGGCACTGCGGTTATTGTCCAGTTCGCGACAGGAGGTCATGACGACTCCGTTGTTATAGGAAAAGAGCGGGAACTCTGCAGAGAGGAGGGAACCAACCCTCAGCTGTCCCCAGTCCCAACTCCTCAGGCTGTTAGAAAACCAGGGGTCCCGAGGCTAGACCAGCGTCAAGAGCCAGCAGGCTGTGTCTTCAGGGTACGAGGGCATGTCGGGTGGTGCTGGTTTGTGTGTGTGGGTCTCTCTGTGTTAGAATCTCTGGGGAGAGTCACACCACAACACCCTTAGGGCTGCCCCAGGATGGGGAGCACCCTCCTGCTTCTGAAGAAGGTCTCCAGTCACCCCTTCCATCTTTCTGCAGCTCTCAACCCCTTCACTTCTCAGGTCCAGCTGGGCACGGGCCTGCCTGAGGGCAGCGTCATGAGTTTTCTTACTCTCTCAGTCTACTTGGGATAAACACATAACCTGTTCAATGTCTGACATCCATAACAATTCATACTGATGGGCTCGTGGGCACAGTGGGATGGAGAGAGGATGGCTCCTGGAGTCCAGTCACCTAAGTTGAAATTCTCCCTTATTCCCTACTAGCTGTGTGACCTTGGGTAAGTTATTTAACCTCTCTGGGTTTCAGCAATCTCCTTTGAATAACAGGGATAAAGCTTCAAAAGGCGGATATAAAGATTAAAGGCGATAACATAGATGAAAGTACTTTGTATTAGGTGAAAAGCTATATAAATGCTATGGAATATCATTGCTATTAGTAATAACAATAATAATTTTTAGTAGTAATGACAGGAGAAGCCTACTCCTGAAACCTTTGGTTTCATCTTGTCTCTGGAAAGCAATCCAGACTAAGACAAAATAGCAGTATTTATGCTGTGAGGCACAGATGATTTATTTTAAGGACTCACAGCTTATTTCTGAAATTTGGCTCTCCTAAGCTCTGTTCTGTGTGTCTGAGCAGCTGTGGCAGGGCTGCAGTGCGTTTGGGCAGTTTCTCTCTCAAGTTCGATGACCCTGTTACCTATTGGGTTTCTTTTGAAGGCCTGGATAGTGGGGAGTTCAGGCTGCAGGCTGCCCTTTGCATGTGAGAGCAGGGGCATTGGAGAAAGCTGTGTGAGGAGGGGCTGCCTGGGAGGTGGGTCCCCTGGGAGCTTTCTCTCACCATTGGGTATCTCACAGCCCCCTTGTATAGGGAAAAGGGCTTTATGAAAACCAGAGACCAAGACTGCTTCTCAAGGACCCTTCAGGATCAGGAGTCTGAGACTGCGGGTGAGCAATGTCACCGCCTCTTGGCGTCTTTCCCCTCATTTGAAAAACCTGGCCTTTCTGCAAGGTTGTCAAGATGATGAAAGGGGCCTGCGCAGAGCCTGACACGCAGTTCAGGACGCACCTTCTGAATCAGGATCTTCCATGCATGAGCCCTAGATGCTGAGCTTCCCTGCCCACCTGTGCTGGGTGGGCTCAAGGCAGTCTTGTTTGAAGTTGGGAGAGTGACTTGGTTGAGTTGAAGAGCAGGATCTACCCAGCCAATGTTCCAGTGCCCACAGCCCCTTCCCCCGGGGCGGGGCGGGTGGGTCATGAAACATCAGAAAAGTGACTGCTCTTAGGAGCCACTCATAAAGCATAAGGGATGACACCCACTTGCCTGGACTCGACTCGACCTGCTGCCCTCTCCCAAACCGGAAATCTATTTGTGGTTTTGAATTGGTGCATTGTACCTGAAGAATTTTTGCTTTTGACTGATTTGGGTGTTGTTGGAGATTTAGTTGGTGATGTTTCAGCATCACCATCATCACTCTGGTTTTGATCAGTATCTGACTCCTCTCTCACGGAGACTTCTGAGCCTGGGAGAAAAGAAATAAATCATTTTACTTTTCTCAATTTTAATTTTAAAATTTAAATATCTGGTTTTAAAATTATGTCTATAATTTACTGAGGCAAAACAGAGTAAGCTTGCGATACAGCTGCTGAAGAAAGTTTAACAGCTTTGTTTAGTTTAACAGCTTTGTTTAGTTTAACAGCTTTGTTTCCCACAGATCTTATCAGAACCTTTCTCTTGCTAATGAGCACTGTCAATCTCCAAGATGGCTTTTGCTCTGCCAGGGCTTCTCCAACCTTACCAGACACACCGGGGGATCTTGTCAGAATGCAAATTCTGACAAGATCAGGGGTCTCAGGTGGGGCCTGAGGGTCTGCATTTCTAACAAGTTCCAGGTGATGGCCTCTTTTTTTTTTTTGGCGAAGCTTCTTAGTTAAGGTCACCAACTGCTCCAGTTTTCCTCTGCTTTTTACCTATTGCCCCATGCCCCTGGTCACTCTTAAAAAATGTCCTGTCTCGGACAATTAATTATAGAGGCTTCCTAATCTTGGGACACTCATGGTCCACACACCCTGGGGAAGCTGATGAATTATATTAAAAGCGTAGGTCTGGCACAGTGACGTCTTGGTCAGAAACTCTTAACTACTCTGGGCCTCAGTTTTCCCACATAGAGAGTGGATGTAGTTGCATCTGACCTTGAGAACCCCAAAAAAGCCACAGGTCTTCTCTTTAGACAATAATGTCCACATGCACACACACATGCACACACATATTTATACATACACAAATACACATATACACATACACACACACACACACACACACACAGTTTGGCACACAATTAGGTTCATGGGCTCCTGGATCACCAATCAAGAAGCCTGGTACAAGATAATTTCTCAGGACTGCCTTGCGTTACATTTCAGAATGTGAAATTATAAAATTTCTGGTAGGCCATTTCCTTGGTTACTGACTTTCAGTTGCACGCATCACCCATTAACTGCATGTGCCACAGTGAATGTTACTTGGTAAGGAGCATGGTGGAGGATTCATCTCACCCCAGCTGTGCCCTCTGCTAGGGGTGCCCTCTGCCTTCCCTCTTGACAGCTGAGAGGAGAGAAATCCTTCCCTTTTCAAAGGCCTTCTCCTCAAAGCCTGGGGCATCTGACCAGCCCTGGTTTGCACGTGGGTGTGTGCACATGCTCTCATGTGCTAACCAAGACAACGCTGGTGGCACCCAAGATGTGGCCTGATCAGATCTAAAACAGAATCAGGCCTGACACTTTTAGAACGGTCAGGAAAAACCGTGAGAGTAGGGAGGCTCCAGCCTGTCCTGGAATTATCTCCAGCCTCTGTCTCACACCCAGCATTTCAGGTCTGCCTGGCGTTCAGCTGTCCCCGAAACACACAAGGCCTTTCTTTTCTTGCTCCTCAGTCATTCCCATCCTGTTCCCATGGTCTAGAATGTTCTTTCCTCTTGGTAAAAATCAAGATCGAACAGTTCTTCCAGGAAGCCTTCTATGACACCCCCAATGGTGTTCCCACCCCAACCTCTGTGTCCCTCGAGCATCCCCCTATCACACGCCATTCATATCAGGTGTCCACACTTCAGTGTCTGATCTGAGTCCTCAGCCAGACTGAATCCCAGGGGGCAGGAGCTGCTGACGACGTCCTCTCTCCCGGGCCCTGAATGGTCCTGGCCCAGGCCCCGTCCTCTGCAGACATGGACAAACACAGGGATGCCACAGGATGCTGTGGTCAGGGCAGAGGGATGCCTAAATTGCTCATGATGGGAACTGACACTCATCTAAAGTGTGGTGATGCCCTGGGAATTTCTGCCTGCCTCCCGCCGCAGCCTAGGCTCCCACATACGGCTACCTCTCTGCACCGCCCAGACTCTGTGCTGCCTCCACAGTCTGCCTGGTGGGACCCCCAGCCTCTCCCTTCCTTCCCCATGGGAGCAGGAAGAGCAGCCCCGAGGCCTTGCTGGGCCAGGCTGAGCCTCAGTGGGGCTGGGAGGCTGGGGGGCAGCTCCGACAGCATGGCCACTCACTCTGCTTGCTGAGCACCGAAGGGTCTTCGGGCTTCTCAGGGGTCGTATCGCCCTCATCTGGAATCTTGTTGGTGAAGCTGCTGGACACATAGAGCTTGCTGGTGTCCAGTGTGGCCTTGCTGAAGGGCGACATGGCCGAGTACATGCTGGTGTAGCCATTGGAGTTGCAGCTGAGGGCGGCCAGGTCCAGGGCCTTGCCGCCGGTGATAATGGGGATGTTCAGGGAGAGCTTCCGCCGGCGGCTTGGCGAAGATGTCTTGGTGATGGACAGAGGTGGTGGCGAGGAGAACTTGCGGGTGGCACGCGGGGACTTGGGGGGGTCACCGTACAGAAGCTTGTTGTTCTGGCCACTGGCAAACAGAAGCTCCAGCGACCTGTTGGGAGGGCGGGGGTGGGGGTGAAAATGACAGCGTAGGCCTGCCTGCCCTCCTAGGCCTGGGGGCCGTCTCCAGCGGGGTTCAGAGTGGCAGCAATGGCTCCATCATTCTCATGATCCCTGAAACCCAAGCCTGAGCTGATCTTCTGAGCAGGGACAATGTGATTAAATGGCCTGGGGCCAAGGGTCCTGCTTTGGATGGTTTGGTCAGAGGATATGGGGCTTCTATGCTCCGCCCCCCACCCCCTCAGGGCAGCAGCTGCAGCATCTGACCTGAAGTGCTAAGGGTCCCCTGACCTGCAGGCTGTGTAAAACCCCCCTCCGTCCCACACAGGGCCTGCTCCCGCCTACACGCTCTGGCCTCATCTTTAGAGAGGTCCTCAGGCGTGGTTTGTGGAATGAGGAAGCTGAGGCTCAGAGACAGGAAATGACTCATCTGATGCCTCCTACTCTAAACTCAGGGTCCTTTCCAGCTGCCATGAGGCTTGAGTGGCCCTATATGCAAACTTAGGGGGATGGGAAGCTGAAAGTGTCCCCTGCTATCTTCATGACAGGGTCCCACCTCAGGCCAGGCTGGAAACAGGTTACACATCCAGAACAACCATAGCTTGTTTCATCAAGGCTGTCTGCTCCACGTTGCGCACAGGACAGGATTTCTCTCTTAACCCTCACTGTTGCCTCAGAACGTAGGCACTTTTAGTCTACAGGATAACTGTAGGAATGTCATAGGCAGGAAACTGAGGCTCAGAGAGGTTAAGGGACTCAGCCAAGGCCACAGGGCTGAGAGCAGTCTCTGAATCAGCCTCTCTGTTCTGTAGGGCACTGCTGCTGGGCCCCTGGGAATGATCTCAGTGACTTTTAGGGGGTAAATCCATCCTGCATAGGATGTTTTCTTCTGCTTTCTCAGAGCCCTGGGAAGCGGATCATTGAAGTTTCAGAAGTTCAGGGCAGAGAGGCAAGATGTGCCCTGCCCCAGTGAGTCCTGAGGTGGGGGCAGGAGGAGGGAACAGAAGAGGGAATGGGTGTATTCTGGGTCGTTGCATTGCTCTGGCAGCAGAGGTGTGGGTTGGGGGACGAATGGTGAGGTTCCTGGGGAGCCCTGGGGAGCCAGTGTGATTCAGGAGCTCTGCTCCAGGCAGCCCTAGAGCTGAGGCTCTGGCCTCATGTCTTGCCTAGGGTGTTTTGGGCTGGGGCACTCAGAGAGCCTCTGAGCCTCTGAGGGCTGGGATGGGCTGTCCACAACTGGGATCTGGGTAAGTGGCCTCTCGGAAAAGATAATCACCTACCATTCCTGGACGGGCTCCTCCTGGAGCAGTGAGGCCCATCAGGGGCCTGAACCAATCCCTGAACTTGACCTACTGCTCGGCAGCCTTGACCAAGTCCTTCATTACTCCATGTCTCTTGGGAAGCCAAGGCTAAGGTGGCCTGCATTCCTTATGTTGACTCACCCCAATTAGGCCAAAAAGGGCTCCATCGTTTCTCAGAGTAGGAGGTGGTCCAAGCAGAGCAGGGGTAAGATTCCTTTCTCTCTTCCTTTCTTCCTTCCTCCCTCTCTCCCTTTATTTTTCTTTCTCCCTCTCCCTCTCTCCTTCTGTCCTCCCTCCCCTCATTTCCTTTCTCTTTTTTCACCAAAGGAAGCACTGTCCTTTGATGAGGGTGGGACCCTGTGCTTCCAGGAGTGGGGCTAGGAGGTGAGAGCACCCTCCACACCCCAGGATCCCTGCAGGTGGAGATGGAAGAAGCTGAGACCGAGCAGTAGCACCAGACAGGTGGGCTATCCCTACCTCTCTGCAGAAGGAAGCTTGGTTCCAGGGGAGAGGGGGCAGTGGTGGTGAGCGTCACACAGCTCCCCAGCACGTGTTACTGCTGGTCCCCCAGGGACCTTCCGGGTCACCCCCCGACCCCGTGCATGCTCAGTTTTCCTCCAAGACTTGGAAGCTCTGTGGACATAGAAGGATAGGGCACCTCAGCCACCTGGCAGGGATGGCACTGATGGGCTTCTTGTAGATGGTAATGAGCTTGTCCAGGACCACGACGGCGGTGGTGAAGACCCGGTAGGAGTGCAGGAAGGTGTTGAGGAAGTCGATGCTCAGGAAGCGCAGGTCTGTCAGCCTCTCCAGCAGCCGCTCCACGCTGGCGTAGCGGATCTGAAGCACTTTGCAGGAGTTCATGGTTTTGCTGAAGCGAATGTCAACATCATCACAATATAAGGAGGCGTCAGACCTGAGAGGGGAGGAAGGATGCAGGTGACGTGGGTCTAAAGGCATCTGAATGGTACCCACCAGGCCTATTCATCACTGCTTCCCCCACACACTGACAGCCCAGGACGGTCTTATTAAGAGAACAAGCTTGGGAAGGATGACATTGAAGGAGGGTACAACTTCGTTTTCCCAATATCCTAAAAACCCTCCATTATAAAACCCCTAGAAGTACAGGAGAAATATTACAAACTTAAAAACGTGTTGTTGAGTTCACAAGATACAAGGAACTCTGTTCACACAAACGTGTACATGGATGGGGTGCAGTGGCTCACGCCTGTAATCCCAGCACTTTGGGAGGCTGAGGTGGGAGGATCACTTGAGGTCAGGAGTTCGAGACCAGCCTGGTCAACATGGCAAAACCCTGTCTGGTAAAAATACAAAAGTTAGCTGGGTGTGGTGGCGCATGCCTGTGATACCCGTTACTCAGGAGGCTGAGGCACAAGAATCGCTTGAACCCGGGAGATGGAGGTTGCAGTGAGCTGAGACTGTGACACTGCCCTCCAGCCTGGGTGACACAGCAAGACTCTGCCTCAAAAAAAAATGTGTGCATGAATGTTCTTAGCAGCATTATTCGTAATAGCCCCAAAGTGGAAACCACCCAGGTGTCCATCAGCTGATATGTGGAAAAACAAAATGTGGTCTATTCGATCTGGATCTGCTAGCAGCTGCCAAGATGTGAGGACAAAGGGGCTGAGATGGGTGTGAACTTGCAGGGGTCTTGTTTCAGCTGCTTGTGAACTTGAGTTGAGGTCGGCAGCCTTTACAGGGCATAGTGGGAACCAGCGGCCCTGAAGGTTGCTGTACCACACAGCGCCCTCTGGTGGTTAAACCACTGGAATCGTGTTTTATTGGTCATCCAACGGGAGCTATCAGGACTCTTCAGCAACTGTGGGTTTTCATTTTTTTGGACATTGTGAGTCTTTGTCATCATGTTTTACTTTTTGTTTTGACTACCAAGAATCTTAGAATCAAATATAGTGCTCATTTCTTTTTATTTACTTCTTTATTTTTTGTTTGTCCTTATTACATACTGATGGCTGTATCTAGTTTTCTTTTTTTTTTTTTTTTTTAAATGAGGCAAGGTCTCATTTGCCCAGGCTGGAGTGCAGTGCGGTGGTGCAATCATGGCTCACTGCAGCCTTGCCCTCCTGGGCTCAAGCGATCCTCCTGCCTTACCCTTCCCAGTAGCTGGGATTACAGGTGCATGCCACTACGCCTGGCTAATTTTTGTATTTTTTGGTAGAGACATGGTTTCACCATGTTGCCCAGGCTGGTCTTGAATTCCTGGGCTCAAGTGATCCTCCCATCTTGGCCTCCCAAAGTGTTGAGATGTCAGGTGTGAGCCACTGTGCCCAGACTATCTAGTTTTTTCTTTTCTTTTTTTTTGGAAATGGAGTCTTGCCCTGTCACCCAGGCTGGAGTGCCTCTGCCTCCACGATTCAAGTGATTCTCCTGCCTCAGTCTCCCAAGTAGCTGGGATTACAGGCACGCACCACCATGCCTGGCTAATTTTTGTATTCTTCGTAGAGACGGGGTTTCACCATGTTGGCCAGGCTGGTCTCAAACTCTTGACCTCTTGATCCACCTGCCTCGGCCTCCTAAAGTGCCGGGATTACAGGCATGAGCCACTGCACCTGGCTCACCTGTTCTTTCGAGGGTATCTTCTACCTAGGAGTGTAGATAGTGCTCAGAGGAAGCGAGCAAATGGACATAGCCTCCCTTTCACACTATCTTTCTTAAATGCTTTTCTTTGGAAGCATTCTTGGGATTTGAAATAAACAAACAACTTTTATTGAGCACCTTCAATGAGCAGGGTGGGGGGATTTCTTTTTAGGATGAGAACAATATGGGAAAAGCACAGGGCCTGAAAGGATGCTACAGTTCAAAAAGAGACCATCCCAAAGAAACCGAGGAAATGCTGCCTTCTAAGTTAGCTTTGCTGCAAGACACAAAACGTTTTAGAAAACTCCTGATTTGGTTTCCACCAAGATTCAGGAAAATATACACTGCATCTATGGGACCTCCAGAAGCAACCATGAAGAGGGAGTAATCCGATGTCAGAAGGATTTCCTGGATGTGAAAAACAAGAGTGCTGAATTGAAGGCTGGGATGAATTCAGGAAATGGCAGATCGGACAATCAGAAAATCAGAGTAGTCTATTAAACACATTTGTGGAAGTGCCCTAGAAATCAGAGAAGGACAAAGAGGTTGAAATGAGAGAAAATGGAAGCAACACAGAGTGGACAGAGAGAGGACCTCTCACTACTGTGAGACAAAGTAGCAAACGAGAGAAGCCACGCCTGCTCATTTCTGCTCGACGGCATAACTCCACAAGGCCCCCGACTCTGTGATGATGTGCAGCTCTCTGGAAAGATGCTTTGAGGACAAAGCAGGCCAGAGCATATGGCCTCCCAGGTCTCTTGCCTGAGTCTCTATTCTCCCTACAAGATAAATGACCCTTGTCCTTGCCTTTCCCAAACATAAGATGACGTCTGATGGGGTTAGTGAGGACGCCTCTGTCATCTCTAACCAGATGTATTCTCATGCCCAAACCTTTATGTGATTCTGCTTCAATGTCTCTTCTCAGCAAGTCTGATGTGATTCTGCAGGTGCTGAACCCCCCACCTGCATTTAAGCTGGCTGAAACACTGTGCTGGGATTTGATAGGACCTCCCTGAAGGGCGGCTCCCGGGCTGCCGGCCTCCGTCGACAGTCCTCAGGAAGGCTTCTAAAGAAAATAAACCTGAATTCTTTAAAAGCTTGATCATTTTTCCTTTAGTCAACACTAAAAGTCTCAAAAGGAAGGCGAGAAACTGTGAAGAAGCACTAATGAAAGAAATACTGGGCTGGAGGAAGTGCCTGGGACAGCAACATCGAGTAAGGGCGACGTCCAGCCCTGGAGGCTGAAGGGGTTCAGGAACTGTCTCTCAGATGAAGCCAAGTCATTCCCACTGGGCTGCATGTTTCAGAGGGAGAGGACAGCCACTCCCACATCACGATCCCAAAGCATCCAGCCCAGGCCTGGCATCCAAATAGGGATCATCTGACCCCTCTGGCAAGGGTTTGCTTCTAGCACCTTTTCTGTGGGCTCCTGCTACTGGAGGGGGAAGAGAAAGTGAAGAAAAGCCCCCGCATTCTCTACTCCTTTTTTTTTAAGACGGAGTCTCTCTCTGTCACTCTGTCACTCAGGCTGGAGTGCAGTGGCGCCATCTCTCCTCACTGCAAGCTCTGCTGCCTCCCGGGTTCACGCCATTCTCCCGCCTCAGCCTCCTGAGTAGCTAGGACTACAGGCGCGCGCCACCATGCCCGGCTAATTTTTTTTTTTTTGTATTTTTAGTAGAGACGGGGTTTCACCATGTGTTAGCCAGGGTGGTCTCCATCTTCTGACCTCGTGATCCACCTGCCTCGGGCTCCCAAAGTGCTGGGATTACAGGCGTGAGCCACCGTGCCCAGCCCCTTTTCTGTTTTAAACCTCATAATCACTGTTGGTTCCAGTGCCTCTGGTAACTCCAATACTCTTTTTTTTTTTTTTTTTTTAATTGAGATGGACCCCTGCTCTGTCGCCCAGGCTGGAGTGCAGTGGTGCAACCTTGGCTCACTGCAACCTCTGCCTCCTGGGTTCAAGTGATTTTCCTGCCTCAGCCTCCTGAGTAGCTGGGATTACAGGCGCCCACCACCACACCCAGCTAATTTTTTGTATTTTAGTAGAGACGGGGTTTCACTGTGTTGCCCAGGCTGGTCTGGAACTCCTGACCTTGTGATCTGCACACCTTAGCCACCTAAAGTGCTGGGATTACAGAGTGAGCCACCGCACCCGGCCTCTTTTTTGTTTTTTTGAGACAGAGTCTCACTCACTCTGTCGCCCAGGTTGGAGGGCAGTGGTGTAATCTCGGCTCATTGCAACCTCCACCTCTGGGGCTCAAGCGATTCTCCTGCCTCAGACTCCTGAGTAGCTGGGATTACAGGCATGCACCACAATGACTGTCTAATTTTTTGTATTTTTAGTAGAGATGGGGTTTCACTGTGTTGGCCAGGCTGGTCTCGACCTCCTGACCTCAATTGATCTGCCTGCCTCAGCCTCCCAAAGTGCCAGGATTACAGGCAAGAGTCACCACACCCGGCAATATCCCCAATATTCTGTAGAACTATCCTGGACTTCAGCTTCCCTGTCTGTAAAATGGGAGGGTGCATTAAAGTAGGCAGACTGGTGGCAGTGGCCCAGGGCTATGCTTTCAGACTCAACACAAGAGAGTGCTGTGATCCATTAGCAATGTCTGCCAGGAGCTTTGGATGGGAGATGACTGGCTTGAGTGCCAGATACTTGCTATCCCTGCTAGAAAGTGTATTCAGTGCCTTAGAATGTGAACATTTTCTCATTGGAAATTCAGATCTGCTTCTCTCTGATCTTCCAACACTTCTTGATGAATGCTCCAAGTGGTATTCCTGTCTCCCAGGCATCAATGACAGGCCTTGCCTGAAGGGAAAAGGACTTTCTCTTTCTTTTTTTTCCCAGGGATAGTGCCCCCACCTTGAGTCTACCTGCCCTTGAGGTCACATGTTGGGGCAGAGCCTCAGCCCCAGGAGCCTGGCAGGTGGAAGGAGACTTTTCACTTTTGGGTTGCTGGTGGCTGACCTGAGACCCTGACCACTACATCCACCCACAGAGCTGCTGTGGTAAGGCCTGGATGCATCATGTTAGGGGCTAGTGGGAGTACTTGGGACACGTGTGGTGTATGCCTTTGTCTTGCAAACCCAAAATCAGGATGCTCTTGACTCACAGTCTGAGAGCAGGGAACTGTGCTAGAAACTCAGCATGTTTTGGGAGACATATGGGAGGAATACCCCCAACTCCCCGCCTATCATCCCTACACCTTTCTCTAGCTAGGCTCTCCACTCCCCACTCTCCCCATCAGAGTGGCCAGCAGCGGGGAGCCTGCCACTCCCCTGGTTTGTCTCTATCACCTACAGAACAAAGCCCCGCTCCTCGCCTGTCACATTACTGTGATCTGACCCTTGCCCACTGCTCCAGCCCCATCTTTCACTACGTCGTATGGATTGCTATATTATTTAAGAAAGTCAAATTGGGCCATAAAAGTAAGAGAAATAAATAAGGAAGACAGATGAAGCTAAGTACAGAAGACTTACACTAGACATAGTATACCAAGGAGAGCACCTGCATGCTGAACATAGGAAGGGACAGAGGGACCAAAGGCACTAAATAGCCACAAGGCGCCAAATATTGATGCTATGCTTAATATTCATGAGGCATATGGGACATTCAATATTTATTAGGTCTTAAGTCAGCCACCTATTGGTGATGGCTATTCTGACCCTCTGTGTCCCCTGCCCAAGAAATGCAGAGAAAGGTGTAGCTGTTCTCCAGGTGAACTGATGGCTGCAGCTGTGGCCAGGCACTCGCCCCTACACCGGGGAGAGGGCAAGTCTGTGCCACTGGCCCAAGTGTTTTCCATCGCATGGGCTCCTTGGTTCAAACTTCGCTCCATCAGCAGCTATCCCATTTCCTTTCCCTGGGGTCTTGCTATGTGTTTGTAATTGATACACCATTAGCCAGGTGTGGTGGTGCACACCTGTAGTCCTAGCTACTTGGGAGGCTGAGGTGGGAGGAACACTTGAGCCCAGGAGGTTGAGGCTGCAGTGAGCCGAGATCACACCACTGCACTCCAGCCTGGGTGACAGAGTGAGACCCTGTCTCAAAAAAAATCAATACTCTAGGCCCCAAAATGAAGCATTTTAACTTAGCCTATGAATCTGTTCTAAAGCCTCTAGAATAGTTTGTCTGGTAGTGTACCTGGAGACCACAACTGCATCAAGGTCATTGCCTTCATGACATATCACTCTCCCCAACCCTGCACTCTCCCCAAACACCATGCACTTTTGTGCCTCTGAACCTATGTTCATGCTGTGCCCTCTTTCCAGAATGCCCTTCCCCCTCAGTCATTTAGCAAAGTCCAACTGATCCTTCGAGGCCAGCTCTGATGTCCCGTTCCATAAGAAACCATCCTTAACTGTGCCAGGTAGATCTGTCACTCATCCTCTGGACCTCACCTGGATTACACAGATTCCATTCTGCAGCATGCGCTACACTGCTTTCTAATAATCTCTCTATGAGTCTCTCTCTCACTAAACGATGAATTTCCCGAGGACAGAGACCCCACCTGCTCATTTCTGCTTCCCTAGTCCCCTCACTGGTCCTCCTGTGAAGGAGCCAGGCTTTAGATTGGTAGCAGATGGGTCCTTAAAGTTGTCATTTTAATCTGGACATTCCATTCACTTTATCACTATCATAGTTCAAAATTTTGTTATTTTTTCTTTCGTAGGTGATTTTAATTTTATTAAAATAACATTTTAATAAATTTTATATAAAATTATATATTATATGTTAATATATATTTTATATTAATGTTTTATTATAATATATTATATATACAGATATGTAATATATATAAAATTTTATATAAAATTATATATTATATGTTAATATATATTTTATATTAATGTTTTATTATAATATATTATATATACAGATATGTAATATACATATATATAAAATATATACACATATATACATGTGGTGAGGTCTCGACTCAATGCCACCTCTGCCTCCTACGTTCAAGTGATTCTCCCATCTCAGCCTTCTGAGTAGCTGGGATTACAGGCATGTGCCACCAGGCCTGACTAATTTTTGTATTTTTAGTAGAGATGGGGTTTCACCATGTTGCTCAGGCTAGTCTTGGACTCCTGACCTGAAGTCATCCACCTGCCTCGGCCTCCCAAAGTTCATCTGCTCCTTTGGCTGTCTCAATGTGCACCCTTTCCAGAGCATGAGTGGGTACTCGCTAAACATATAATGGTAATTGAGTGGGTACTCGCTAAACATATAATGGTAATTGAGTGGGTACTCGCTAAACATATAATGGTAATTCCAGCTGTGAGTTTTATTGGATTATTGAAACAGATCTAGGAAGTAGGTAGGTACTATCATGTCCCCCATTTACAACGTGAGAAACCCAAGCTCAGAAAGGTTAAGCGACTTGTCTATAGTCACACACAAAGCTAGGGCTGGTGACCAGGGCTGTTGCTTTCGAGGCCAGACTTTCCTGCTGTACCCCACCACCTGTTCAGCGATGTAGTCATGAGGGGAATAATTCCTTATCAACTTGTGCAGAGGCTTAAAAGCCTGGTGGACCTGAAACTGCCTCGGCTAGCTCCTGGCACACAGTAGGTTCATAAAGGGCTCGCTTCATCACACTTGACTTCAGATTGGTGGCGAGTGGAAACAAAGGATTTCACACATTAAATCATGTTCTGCATTAAATGCATTAACTCTTCGGTTCCCCAGAGCATGTATGTGAAGTAGCAAAGAGGCCTGGGTTACCCAGATGATTGTTCTGGCAACAGCAACATGGCCCAGGTGGGAACAGAGTCCTAGCATGCACCAGGTGAGCAAGGCAGACTCAGAACATAGAGATGGGAATTGAGGTCAGAGAGCCGCTGGGCTCCAGGGTTGGGGCAGAAGGAGGGTATGGTGAGGGGGTTAGGCACGCAGGTGACTGCAAGATAATTGTGCCTGGTGCAGGTGAGGGGGGCTGCATTACCCAGGGCTTGGAGAGCTGCATTTAGTAGGACACCTGCTAAATCCCTCTTGTCTCTGGGGATTGTTCAAACAAACACAGTGGTCCTGGAGCCTGTGTTTTGGTTTTTCTGGTTTTTGAAATGTTCTATGTATTAATTTTTAATTAGGAAAAGAAAAATAGTTGTTAAAAAAGAGTAGATAAAGTTTCATTCCTAATGTTATATTTTAAAGAGCCAAATACAAAAATAATCCACATGTACAAAACAGATGAACCATAACAAAACTAAGCCAAAGCACCATAATAGAAAACTGAAAAAAAAAAAAATAGATGTTGGCGTGGGTGTGGTAAAAAGGTAACACTTCTCCACTGCTGGTGGGAATGAAAACTAGTACAGCCACAATGGAAATCAGTGTGGAGATTCTTTAAAGAACAAAAAGTGGAACCACCATTTGATCTAGCAATCCCACTACTGGGTATCTGCCCAGAGTAAAAGAAGTCATTACACAAAAAAGATCCTTGCTCAAGCATGTTTATAACAGCACAATTCGCAAAAATGTGGAACCAACCCAAATGTCCATCAATCAATGAGTGGATAAAGAAATTGTGGTATATATATATATATATATATAT